ACTACAAACCAGTCTCCAGTGGATGGCTTTCTCTCTGTGTTCTACTTACTCTGACAGATAATACTGTAATTATGGTCATGGTATGGTCCAAAAATCTGCCAATTGTCCTTCTGAAAAAAAAATTTCATAGTAATGTTACCCTTTCTGTTCCGTAGCAACACTGAACCAGTAAATGAGGCAAAGGAAAAAAAATGCTTTAGGAAATCAACAGGTCAGTGGAGAAAATGTTGCTGAGCTTGTCAGATRGCTTTGAAGCACGGTGKGTTTATTTTTGTTTTGTTTGGGGTTTTTTTAATAACAAAGTTTCACCAAACCAACCAAGACTGCTGATGATCCTAGGCTACAGAATTCCCTTTCCAGCAGTGTGTGGTCGATGCTGGGAAATTGTAACTCCTGGCTAAGTGGATTTGGGTTGCAGCTCTTAAGTCAGCTGCTTCTCAGACCTGCCCAGTGCTGATTCAGCMCCAGTGAGCACTGGAAGGCAGTTATTAAAGGTGTGCAGGGCATTCTGTGGGGTTGGAAGACATTTGGCCACAGAAACAGTGGTGCTTTTATTATATGAATTGATAACTAACTTGCTTTGGGTTTGCTACCAGAGCATGTTAGAATATTAACAAGGAGATGCCATTCCCTTAAACCAGGCAAAGGRTTAAGCAGGGCGCTAAGTGGGGGTGGGTGGTTGCTGAACTCGGCTGTGGATACCCATGACAAGGAGGTAAAGAGAATTCCTCTGGCTGAACTGGAAATTCAGGACATTTCTTGTTCAGCCCATAAGGACAACATCTATTAGCATTATTTAGGGCTTGCCGCAGAAGGGCGTTTTTGAGCAGACATATTCAGAATAATCTTTGATTTCCTGTGGATTCATATTCTCAAGAATGACATCCCTGGCGTTATTCWGGAATAACTATCCCACTTTATGTTCATGTTGCAGTTTATTCTGGAATWATTTCTACAGGTATTCAGGAGTCCCAGGGATTCTGCTGGGCTCACAGTGCTAGGATCACACTGAAACTATCCCCACTCTTTCCTTCTGCTCTCTTAGAAACATTTTGCAGGGAACTAGAAACAAAAGAGACTTTATGATAATTTAGATTTTGTACAAGAATTCCTTTATTATAAATAGAGCTGCATGAGAAGATCCATACAAATTCAACAGTGTCCTGTWATAGAAGCAGCAGTTTAAGTACAGCATTGTCAATCAAGGAAGACCTTMGTTTGGAGAGTTCTGGTGTTATTGCCCATCTTGGCTGCATTGCCAAAACTCATCTTTGTACTACAGTTTTGCCTCTGAGCTAGCATATTACACACAGACCCTCCAGTTCTAAAAAATGACAAGTAATAAATAAAGCTGTTTACCAGGTAAGGTCCTGTGAGAGCCAACCCCTCACTGAGCAGCAGCAAAGCTGTTACAGGTGCCTAAAGTCACATTTCTTCACCACAGAGAAAACACTGCAAAGACTTTGCATTAAAAATGGATGGTGAACAAACACSAAATCCTGCTGCTTGATACTGGATAAACTGTTGGATAATTTTGCTAAACTACATCTTTATACCCCTGTAAGACCTGTATACAGAGAGAGAGAAACTGTTTTCTGTGGCTGCCTAACAGTGAACACCCACACTTCCCCTTAGAAGAGATTCAGCTCCTGAACAGCAATAATAACCTTAGAACAAGACATTTTCTAAAGGCAAAAGGCTCCTGAGGCTATGCTGTAGATCATAGGTTGCTATCAACCCACCACAAATTCCACTGCTTTGACAGAGCCTGTAATAAAGTATTAAAACCACAAGTTGAGGGCACAAGGAGTGGTTGGAAACCAGTGGAAGGCACTCAGAGTTCATCTGTTGAATTCATCTGGTTAGCAAATATTAAGAACTTTATTAAGGCACAAGAAAGATGTCCAGGACAGGCCATTTACCTTTCCTTAGGATGTCTCACAGAAACACAGGCATTGCCAAAGAGATGGTTGTTACTCAGATGTCATATAGAKTTTGGTTTTAAAAGAACATTTTTCACTTTAAACCACAAAATCTCATTTCTACTCCCATCTTTTAAAGCTGCTTCCTATGAATACCCACCCAGATTTCAATCAAGGCAGAACTACCCATGGGCAACACTAAAAAATCAAAAGGACATTTTTATTGTCTGACAGCCAACGGAACTGAATTGTCTTATAAACCTTATCTTGTGAAGTGTGAGCGTGGRCTTTTATTGATATGTGAGTATTTGGTGGGCTAAGATTTGATACAGGAGAGACAAGGAATCATGTGCTTCACATCACAGCCTCCTTGTACCATGGCAGAGGTGTGATCCAAAGAAATTGTGCTCTCTCCCACCTCTCCTCTGATGGGACATGTCTGTACCTTTGGTTTGTGAGGAAGATCTCCTCTCTGAGGCTGACTGCATCACAGCTTATAATCACAGACAACAGGTATGAGTGGGTCCCCTCACAGCCTAAATGCACAGACCAGATCACTTTAAAGGTGCTCAGGGCAAAATGAGCACATTGCATGTAGGAAAATTAAGCCAAGCAATTTGCTGTCAGTTGAATCAAATCCATAAATTACTTAATTCAACTCCAGCTTGTGTTCAACTAAACCCCATGGGAACACTTCAGGGTCAGTTTGGGCGTAAGAGAGAACAGGCATACAAGTACAGAAAACAAAGAACAAAAGACTCAATCCACTTATCAGTTCAGGTTCCCTTTGAGTCTGAGCAGCGGTGCTTAGGGCTGTGTAAAAACGAGTTTGGGCACGTTTACAAGCCCGTTGCAACTGGTGTTGCAAAGCTTTGTTCTGACATTTTAATAGGGGAGTTACCTTATTCTGTTCAGCAGCCTTTTCTTCTCATGCTCCCCCTGCACAACCTTATATAAAAGTTATTTTTCAACTCTCAATGTCATTTCCTGAGAGACCTGGGTCACAAATTTGTTTCTGTTCTTTGGACAGTCTAAATTTAGACTCTGACAGGAAATGGCAGAGAAATTCTAATTTCTCTCTRGCTGGGTTGGGAGCACATTTAGAAGCAACTCTAACCACAAGTGCTCCAGGCTGACCTGCCTGCCAGCAGTCCATGTAAAGCTGGATCTGCTACAGGCACTTTGCAATAAACCTGTGCAGGTAAAAATGGCAAATCTTACTCAYATGGCAAACAACTTACACAGCTTCTGACGTAGCCTCCAGGCTACAGTGCTGACCCACCCTCCCTGTACCTCTGCTTGTCACTACCTGCTTGCCATGTCCCCTGAGATTGCTCCTGCTCTCTTTCCTACTGGGGAAGGCCTGCTTGGCTGGACTAAGGARAGCCAGGGGCTTACAGCACTTGATAGCGTCAGCAATTAGTCCTGCCCTGCTGCTCTGCCAGCCCTGGCAATCTCCCAGGCACTCATCACCAAGGATGCTGAAGCAAGCACTGAAGATCCAAGACTTTCTCCTACTGGCATTACCCACCAGCCTCTTCTCTCTCATTCCTACCTACCCCTTACTTTCTGCTCAGAGATCCCACTTAACTACCTGTGGTAGTAAAAGCCAAGGAAGGCAGTAATTTGAGCACAGTTCCCTGTCCACCCACCTGCGCTTTCTTATCAACCAGGTGTGGAAACAGGAGTTACAGCTTTCTCTGCCTTTGTGTGTGAAGTGTCCCTCACTGGGGGAGGGACAGAGAAAGGAGACACCAAGGAGGCGGTGAAATGGTTTTCACCAGGAAAAGGGAGGAGAGGACATGTCTGTGGAGAACTCGCTTATCAATGGGATAAGGCTGGATAACAAACTTCATGCTGTGTGCTGTCCCCAGCAGTGMTACAGGATTAAATTTTCTCTCTGATGTGACAGGATTGATAAAAAGGGACCTGTGGAGTGATGCTAAAAGCATCCCTGACGAGTTTTACCTCACAGAATGATCACCCTCTTATAAACAGGATTCAGGGAAGACCTAGTGTAAAACTTTGCAGGAAATCCTAGTGTAAGAAAATTGTAGGAAAGGGCTCTTAGCACTGGAGGCCTGGCTTCTGGGACCAGCAAAAGGCAATTATGCACCGAGGCCCTGGCTTGGACCCCACACTCAGGAGGGTGAGGATCTCCTGAGTCCTCTCCTCCAACAAAGCCTCCTTGCTGAGGCTGGGCACCCCACTGGCCCRGCACTAACATGATTCATGAGGGATTTCAGGCATTTCCATTTCTGCTTTTTTTTTCTTTTTTTAGCACATACCTTAAGACTCTCCCCTGACCTGAAAGTCTGCAGCAGCTCTCCTTTGCWCTCCCACTTCAGCAAATTGCAGTCTGCTAGTCCAGCTCCTCAGAGCAGCAGCCTTTAAAAAGATTGAGGAAAATGTACAAAGCAGCTTTTGCTTGCACATGTGGAGCAGAAGGGAAGCAATACAGATCACAAGGCAGATGCAGARCGCTCTGCCCAGGTCTACTACATGTGCATCTTTTTCATCTCCTCCTTCTCCTCCTCCTAGCTCAGAGCCTTTCTGCTGGTCTCAGACTCATTAAAACCATGTGGAGAGAGTCACACTCTCATTTGGAGGGTGATTGTTCACTCCTGCTACCAGACTGCTGAGATTGGCTTCATTACAAGATAATTTTGGAGAACTGTTTCTTGKATGAAAGCAAAACTTGTAGCAGTATAGAATCAGAATAGTCTGGGCCGGAAGGGACCTCCAAAGATCATATAGTTCAATCTCTGCTTTTCCTTTCTCTCTTAACTATTCTTAAGCCTTAGTACCCAAGGTAAGGAAAACAAAGAACCCAAATTGTCAGAACCCAATAGTGGTGTTTCATTTATGTAAGGTAAAAAAGGTTCCTATTCATTGATCCATACAAAATGGGCAGGATTATAAACCACTGGCCATGTTACCATGGAAGACTCGAATTAAATGGTCTGAAGACACAGACCTTGCCCTGCTACATCCTCCCGCAGGAGAAAAGATGTGCAGGGGTCTTTTTCACCATTTAAGTGCAAGTCATATCAAGAAGGCTTTTTCTTCTTCTTGTTTTTTTCTTTTAACCACAGTTCCCTTTTGAAGCTGTGTTTTATTTAAGGCTCTCCATGCAGTCCAGATCTTGTGCATGACCCTCCTCCTCTCCACATCAGCACGGAGTCTTCTGTTGCACTTCCCATTGGTGGAAGAGCTCCTGCTGTCTGCAAGCAGATGGGCTCCTTTGATCCCAAGATCCTGTCTCWTCTGATTCCCCCACCCTGTTCTTATCTCCCCCTTCTAAAGGAAATGAACTATTTGGCCACCATCACACCCCTGACCCCCATTTGCATTGCAGGCATCTGAATAAATTACTTATATTTGTTGCTCACCACTGCTGTAGCATGACTGAGAYACAATAGAAAAATATATTCTTAGCTGCATAAAACCAAGCACAGCAGTGGAACAGAAAASTATTTCAACACCTCATCTTCCAGTTTCTCCCTATTCTGCCCCYGCCTCTTCCTTTCTGCAGGAACCAYGGCCCAGGACTGGTTCAGCTCCAGACAAGAAGCTGTATTGTCAAAGTCAGTTGTCTCCAGCAGGCTTCAGAAAGTCGCCCTCTGGACTTGTGCTTAGAGTTTGCCTTTGGTTAAAGGGATTCCTTATGGATCCCGTTGGTGTGTGCGAGGGGAATGTGCACTGTGTACTCATTTATCAGTGCAGACATGTTCCTGAGCATCTCGTGGAACGTGTCCACCGTCTTCCTGTAAATRTCCCTGCGTAGCACGAAGGGACGGAAAAGGTTGAGAGGCTCAGCCCTCTGAAATATGATGGGGAAACCCAGCTCTGCTGGCACCTTCCCATTGCCAATAAAAAAGTGATAGAGCTTCTTTTCATGCAAACATTTCTCCAGGAATTTCAGCATGTCCTGCAGGCGGGCCTCCAACTTTTCTGGGGCCCAGTCCTGGCTGGGACGCGCCTGCAGGAGATGCAGCAGCACTGTCTTCAGGTGGTAGTTGGTGAGCCCGCTGGGGCCTGTGAGGCTGCACTGCTTGCCGTGGAGGAAGGAGAGGATCTGAAGGCAGCTGACATGGCAGGCATTGGCAGGCAGTGTTTTGGACACCAGCTGGATGAACCTCCTCTCRTACACGGCGAAGGTGAGAAACCAGTGGGTGCTGGAGGGGATGTCTGCTGCCAGGCTGCTCCGAGGGAAGTGGGAGATGAAGTAAACGTCAGAGTTCTCATACTGCACCACAGGGGTGAGGTTGAAGGCAATTGATTTCCCTGATTTAAATTTTATCTTCAGAGCTCCTGGCGAGTCCAGGAGGCTGAAGGAAAGGTCAAATTCATACTTGTGGGAGATTCGGTTCCAGGCCTTAGTGACGGCAATCTGGAACCACTTCATGACTTGGTCGGCATCCAGATATTGAGTATTTTTGAAGCACAGGAGGTCTTCCATCTCACTGCTGGGCCTGGTACTGCTSACCTGGCTATGGAGGAGGCACAGCATATCTTCCCCAAGTTTAGTCTTGTCACAGATGCAACCTGTCRCATCCTCATCTGCCCTGCACACCTTGATAATGCCATAACCTTGTTCATCTGGGGGAAAAGAATCACCAGAGCACCAGGTCTGGCAGCGAAAGCAGTAAGGCTCTGGGGGGGCAAAAGGCACTATCAGATCACAGACAAAGGGTTTACGCACTCTCCAGTTCTCGTACATGCTCCCCACACCCATGCAATCTTCCACTTCCATGTCGGCATCCCGGTTACAAACACTCCTCAAGGCCTCCAGCAGGTCATCTGCAAAGCCYTCCACCATCTCCCGCATCCTGGCCATGTCTCCGGTGGTACCCAGAATGCGCTTCTCATAGAAGCTGGCCARGACAGCCTTGTCAGGGAAGGCCACTCCTTTAAATGCTTTCCCCAGGACTGCCATGTCATCCTCTTCTCCTCCTATGTCCTGCCAATTCCCTTCCTGGAAATCCTGCCTCCAGAGCTCRATCAGCAGGAAGATGACCATGGAAAGGGCAGTCCACATATCCCATCGGACCGTTCCCTCTTTGCTTTCCTCCACTACCTCTGCAGCCTTTTCCAGAGCCTTCTGYGAGGCTTCCTGGTCTGCTATTTCCTGCTCCAAGCGCAACTGCTCCAGCCGAAGGCTCTCCTCCCGCTCCTTCATCTTCTGGATGATTTCTTCCGTGTTCTCGGGGACAGTGCCATTCTCCTTTGGGAAGAAGAGCGGGTGGTTGACAATAGCTGTAATCACCAGTAGGCACACCCGGAAGAGTCCCACGGGCATGGCAGTTCCCTCCCTGCAAGAACAAGAAGAGAAAGAAAGGTGGAATGACCCATGATTTGGACTATACATTCCTTCAAGTGAAAAAAATGGAAGTAAAAACTTTGACATCCTTTCTGAAAAAAAATGTTCAAATCTAGAATCTTCTAAGTACACGTCCATTTCTGCAAGTTATCAACTAGCTTCCCAAAGAGGGTGAGGATGAAAGTAGCTCCTATCAAATGGACTTTGAAAAACAGAACTGTGAAGGCACTTCCTGCTGTCGACCCACTGTGATGCCATTGGGCAATACGGGGAGCCATATCCTTTCTTTGTCTCTCCTTTTGAATTCCTGGGACAGGAAGGGAAAAAAGAACCAGGCAGGAGAAAGGTGTGAAAAAGCAGGACTGGAGATGAGCACAGCTTTTTCTCATCATAAAGCTAGGGTTTCTGATGTGGCAATGGCATAGGCAGGTCTGTCCTGGCCATCTTCCGTGTTAAGCATGTCTGGGAACCCACACGGCCTGCTTGGATCAGTGCAACCTTCACTGCCCTGCTGGTGATGTGCACCTGGGTGGGCACAAGCATGCAGAGTTTTGCTCTTCTAAGCAGGCACTATAGGCAAGGCTCTTCCTGCCCTTCAGCACCACCAGGATCAGGCTGTGGCAAACCCTTCTGGCCCCCAGGATGCCTCATGATCACAGTCCCCAGAAAAAAAGACAGACAAAAGCTCTGCTAAAATGGAAAGGGTTTCCTTTARCCCARTGGTTCTAAAAGCATCAGGCTGGTYATTTTTGGTGCTCACTRTGCTACKGWCCTGGGGAAGACATTCATAAACACCATGGCTTTGGTCTAAGCCATCCCTCCCAAGCTTTCCTTAACAGCTGTGCTTGCAGCCAGCTCACTCCTACTTGTAGTGACCTCAAAAAGGCCGTGAGCCACATCCCAGCCATGTGCCAACAACAGTCCCATGTGTCACCCCCTGCACRGGCCCCTGGCACCACTGTAGTGTTTTGGAGTAGCTTCGTGTGGTTACTGGTCCYGCTGCTCCAACCCCACATTTAATAAAGCTTTCTGTGCCATAGAGATCACAATSAAAGGATTGAATTCCCAACTTTTTGGGACATGGTCCCATTGCCAGGGTCTCTGCCTGGGCTGTTTCCTCCCAGCTGGTATATCTGTTTCTGGAGTGCAGGCATCACTATCAAGAGCCCAAGTGGCTGCTCAGGGCAGTAAAATCTGAAGTTGTCATGCACTGCTGTGACGTTGGAAGCTCACCAGTCCCTCTTTCTAGCAAAATCACCTCTCAGTCCTAGCACAGGGAGATATGGAGGACAAGATGGATAAGCAGGGATATTTCTTCTTCCAGCTGGGAAATTTTAGCACAGCTGCTTTAATGCCTCAAAAGTGCTTGAGAGAGAAGGGTTTCTGTTACAGAAATAAAGTCTATCAATAAAATACTTCATCAATCAGACCAGAAATAGCAATCTCATTCCTAATTAATCCTGCTGTGGGAATGAAGCTGTTTCACAGAGAGCCAAAAGATGGTAATGCACTCCATGTGCTCCAGGAGCTCAGGACTGTAATTCCAACCCCCTGGAATAGCTCCTTCCTGGCTTGAACCCAGCACGTTTCGGTGCCACAGCAATCCTGCTGTCCCAGCATCTGGGCAAAAAGGAAAATATCTCTGGCAATCTCATTTATRCCTCCACAGGGCACACAATAAAGACAGAACCGCCCCAGTGGACCTTGTTATCGTAACTGCACAACAAACTGCTGGCTTTGATTGCAGGAACCTGGATTTCCTCAATGTGAACATTTACTGTACATGGGAACTGTATCCTTCGGCTTCCAATTATCTTGGCTTATGAGAGGGCTGGGACTGGAATAACAAGGGAAGGGAACAGGATTGAGATGCATTGTCCAAGCAGCAAGAAAATTCACACGGTGCTCAGGATAATGCTCCATGCCACTCCCTGCGTAACATTTACCAACCACCCTTTTTTTAGATCCTATGCACATGCATAGATGAATGTTCTTATGCAGACATTGCTCTGGAAATAGTTTGTGGGCCTATCTTGTTCTTTTATACATTTACATTAAGTCTTTATCTCATCAAGTAACAAAGCTGAATTAATGCCCAAATCTGGGTGTACCAGTTATTCTATAAGCTCCATGCCTGAGCACAATTTAAAAATAAACTCAGGTCGCCYTGCTTTGCAAAGGGCTTTATCAGTTTGCCAGGGCAGGGCAGGAAGTGCTGGTGAGTTCTTTTCCCTAGTGTAATGCTCTTGCAAACCACGTGTGCCATCCAAGCTTAAAAATAACATGGCCAGGGGCCAGGGGCCTCCTTCATGCAGTCTTGACCAGGGTGACATCACTGCTCTGCCCTGTTAGACCGCTGTCCCTGCAGATGAAATGTTTTACTGTTACCACATTACTGCTCAGATGSACAAGGCTGAAAGAAGTCATCTTCATTAGGATCTTCTTTCTCCTGCCCAGCTGCCCATGGGCACACTGCTTCCAGAGGATACCTGTCCCAAAGCTCTGCCAGCAGCAGGAGTTAGGCAGAACATCCCCAAATCCACCACTGGCTGGCTCAGCTGAATTCACTCCTGGCCACAGTGACATTCCAGGATACTCCAGTTCAGTAGGATCAGGTTTGGGAATATGCACACAATCTCTTCCCTTACCAATGCTACAGACATCAACCTCTGGAAAATGGAAGTGACAAAAACTTCAGATCACACTGCATTACAAGAGGGATGTCTGCTTTGAGCCCAGAAGTTCTGCTGGTCAAAACTGCCCCTTTTTTTCTACTGTAGCTACTCACACCAGAAAATGAAGCCAAACATTAACCTCAATTAAGGCTTAAGGTTAATCTGCTCGGTGACCGAAGTCAGCAGAGCCTGGCCTCGGTGGCAGCAAGGATGGTATGGGCAGAGCGTTCCCACATCTCCCAGACACAGCTTTCCTGGCTAATATGAAAGACTCAATAATACAGGTGAAACCAGTAGCACTGCCTGCCATGGCACTCCAGCACTCCCCATAACAAAGGCTGCTCTTTTCCCTTGCTTTTAACTTCAGCCCGAGCTATTTAAGCCTGATAAAAATATTTATGCCTGCACAGGCWGAGACAGCTTTTGTGTGGGGAAGGAGAGTCCAAACTTTTCCCAGCTGGAGACTAAGAAAGAAAAATGGCGATTTTTCAAACTACACATCAAATTTAGCAACATTTCAAATATGGGGAAAAAAATAAAAGCTATTYGTAAGTTTTTAAACAGCAASTTGTCAAAGCAATCTGCAACTTTTCTCAAATTTCTCACCCTGTCAGTTTTTYCCCATGTAAAATATAGGCAACATCTGGACTCAGTAACAGGCTTACATCCTACCTAACTCCTGCAAACCCTCTTGTGGCAGTTCTGGGGCTCTAAAGACCCCAAGAGAGGGTGCAGTGGTCCTTGCTGCATCACAGACAGGCCACCCCTGCCAGCAGCCAARGCAGCCCTTGCCCTGCTCTCTGGGCAAGACGAGAATGCAGAGACTCCTCTTTTCTCCCATGAGCACAAAGCAGGGAAAGGTGCAGCAAGACCAAAGAAGGTCCCTTGGGAAAAGGAGAAGGGCCAGGGATGGTGAAACCTCACTGTCTTGATGTAAAGCTGTCTCTGCTCACTGCCCAGCATGTGATGCTACTTGTTCAAACCTGCCTCTGGCACTAGAATGTTTCCTTCTGGGATKTTCTGTGGCACTCACTGCTGCAGTGACTAGGGGCTTCACTGAGTTGGGGTTAATGACCACTCTGCACAACCCTGGGAAGTGAGGGGGCAGCCACCATCCCACTCTCCAGCTGGGGAGCGAGGGCTCAGAAAGATTAAAACCACTGATCACTCTGCTGCCTGATTACAAACAACCAGCTGTATCCTGCAGCACTTGGAATGTTCAAAGGGTCCATCAAGAGCTCCTGCAGCCCTCCACCCTCGGCTCCCAAGCAGGTTAGGCCTCATCCTTTCAAGCCTGAAGCTTCTTCCCAGGCTGGAGGATCCTGACCAACTTCATAGCAGGTCCTGGATGATGCAGGGAGCTCTAAGAGAGGAAGGGGAAAGGTGATGCTGCTGTCATGCGGTTCAGGTTGGTGCCATGAAGCCACAAACAGAAGCAGGCCAGCTCTCACCCTAGCTGATCTGAAAGCCATTTGCTCACAATTTGGTAAAGTTTGGCTCACCTGGGCACAGTTCCAGGCAGTGTGGCATAAGGAAAGGGAAGCAGCAAAGGAAGAAGCCTTCAAACAGCCAAGCAGCAGCAGCTCCACCTTCAGCTTCTTCTCCTCCTCACCTGGGAGCATCACAGAGCTTCACACAGGGTTTGTGTGAACCAGCCTGAGGCAGCTGCTGCCCTGTGGCAATGTGTGCTTTCCCCCTCCCCAAGCCACCCTGCCACAGGGGATTTTCCTGCAGGAGCAGCAAAATCCTTCATGGAGATGACAATGCCTAAAGCCTTAACAATGTCCTGTCCCTTCCAGCTACAATGTGCTTCCTTTCTGATGTCCCCAAGCCATCCTCACAGCCCCTTCCACAGCAGCTTCAGACTTTTGCCTCCTGCTCAACCTGGCAAAGGAAAGAAAGAGATAGCAGCTTGCAATTTGCCTCTGCAGGCTGCTCTTGTGCTCTGAGCCCAGATAACCCTTCACCTTCTCTGAAGACATGGGAAAATATTTCCCTTTCATTAACAGTGCCTTTCTTTACTCAAGAGTTCCTCATACAGCTTTATTTTTCCAGCCATTTTATTCCTCTGAATCTTGAATCAYGGTAAGCAAAACACACTCTGGCTGGTGTTCAGAAATAAACCAGGTAGGAGTGAGCTGCAGCTTTGATTCTTAAATTGGAAAAACCCAAGTCAAGCCACTGAGTGCAGTTCAGTATTACACTGGAACACGCCAAGACATCGCTTACAACACACTCGATTGCTTCCTGCAATCTGGCTGACACAAAAGGCACTGAATAGGTGGYTGCTACATTGTGTTTTGCTTTGGTAGGCTGCAAGAAAAGAGGCATTTCAGATAGATGATAGAAACTACAGCTGCCTGGGAGGCTTTTTTCATTGAAAGCTGCCAAATTTTTGAAACCAGAACTGTCATGGGAATAGATATGATTTCTGACTCTCTCACTGGGAAGGTCCTTGAGGTTTGGGAAGGACTCTGCTACTTGTTTTGACTGGAGAGATTAACAGCTCAAACCTAGCCTCCGCCACCAACCTGCAACTGGGACTTCACTGGGAAGATGTGAACCTCAATCTGGGGGGTTTCAGGCCCAGCCCAGCTGAACTTCCTCATGGATGAGCTTCTGGGAGCTCTATGATTCCTTTTCTTGCTGTGCAACAGTAAACAAATTACCTTTTGGCCTTTGAGTGTGTAGTCTGAAAAAAGCTTCTGCTGCATTTATGAAGATCTAGTCAAGAACAAAAGTTTGCTGGAAGTCCTTAGTAATGCGCCATATTCTTCTCCAATTTGCTGTTATCACTGCCACCTCTGCAAGTATTCAGAGATATGATACAGCTGCCACTGCAAGAAATCATGTTTTCTATCAGTGGGGACTACAAGCTCTGATTTGTAAGAAACTTGCACAATGACAGAGAAGTGGGGATTGCAGAGATGCATGTCAGTGTTATTGTTCTTGCGAAAAATTTGGAAAGATGCAGTTCCTTAGACAACCCTTTACCCACACAGCACAGGGCAGCCTGGACAGGCTCCTGCTCTCCCATCTCCTGAGCAGTCAGCTGCAGCACACACAGCTCAAATAGGAAAACTGAGAGATGAAAAATCCAATAGAGAGCCAGCACCAGCTTGTGCTGTTCTTTCAACCCCTATGAATTAACCTGCAGGACGTCAGTGTGATGAGAAGTTGACTGGGACAGAACAGTGCCAGCCACAGCAGCTATAACTCATGTTCTGACTTRGTTTTTGAGCATTAAATTAGTGCTACACAGTACTGAATTCCAGCTGCCAGCAGAATCATAGTTGATTCAGCACAGACAGGTGGGATTGGGCTCTGTTTTTGGCCCTCCACCAAAGCCACCAAGTGGGGAAGAAACAAATGCACCAGTACATGAGGTGCAGGGGCCTGGATGCTGGGACTGGTAACACAACCACGTTTAAAATCTGAAAAGCCAACTGGCCTGCCCAGGACTATGGGAACCAGAAATGGCAGAGCAACCGCCTTCCAAACCATGCCTGGAAGCCACACCCCAGATTAGCCCTTGGCCACGGCATAGCAGTTGGACAGGGCCGCTTGCCTGATAGCTATTGTTCTGCTGTTTGATTGAGAACCTTAGCCTTTCGCAATATCCGTGGACATCCTGTCCTGCTGCAGTGCCAACAGGGTCAGTGGCGCAGCCCCAGTCGGACATCCTGCCCAACAGGTCTGCTGGGGACTTTCGGAAACAATATTTTCCTGCTGAGGGTCATCAGATCAGGTATTTCCAAGGAAATGCTGATGCTCATCCTGTGTACAGGACTAGATAGCCCTCCCTTCCCATGGGCAAGAGGGTTCAGGGGGGACAAGCATGTGAAGGGCACTGACAGTGCTTTGGAAGCAGACACTGCTGTGCAGGCCCAGGTCCAAAGGAGAAGTGATTTTTTCAGTATCTCTCCAAGCAAAGTGCTTGACTGTTACTACAAAAGACAGGGATTGTCTCTCCTGTCTTCCAGTCATTCACTGYCTATGCCATGAGGAAGCTTTTATGCAGRYCTCCTTGTTATCTCTCCCCTGMTGCAKTTTGAAYCCCTAACATTCCAGTGACCACTGTAGGTAAAAGCAGGATACRTTTTTTCTTTTTTTCTTGCAGTAGCACTCAGGATGTTCACAGGTACTCCCCTTCTGCCTCAGCTTTCACTATACACAGGTGCATTTATAAGCTGTTGCCATAAAATCTCACAGCCCTCCTAACCCCAAAGCCTAGACAGTGCAAAGCCTCCTTTGTGGCTCAAAGGGAACTATTTGCCTTCTAGGGCTCTTTTTCAAAACCTAAAGAGATGTGGCACATGTTAGGTTTTCAGTTTCTTCAGCAAGTGGGGATTTATTGGGCCCATTTCTAACTCATTGTTTCTCAGTGCATACAGGTATCATCCCACTAAACAAAACACTAATCAAAACATGCCTCTAATCAAAACATGATCCTCTTCCTGTATCAGAAGCCAGCAACAACCACTAAAGGCAGCTTTCACAACTAATGAACAACACAGAGCCACGTCACCAGAGCTCTCACTGTTTACTCACTGCAAGGCTGGACCCAAGAGGGGGTGCCCATGGAGATGAAGCCAACAGCATGAGCAGTGTGTTACTCAGCATCCTGCTCCTTGCTTGAATGTGTTTTTATTGCTTTTTGACTATGCAAGCCAGCTCAGCTCATGTCAGCAAACAGCTCATGGGCAGTCTGTGACATGCCTCGGGTTCCCCCTGCTATGGCCAAGAAGGAGTTTTACAAATTGGAACASAACGTTTGCTGCAGGAGAGACAAGAGGAGAAAGGTAGGAAGTGTGTATGTGACTCCCACCCACTTCTTAAGCTGTTGTAGTAGGACCACAGGAAGAGCTTGCCTTTTTAAGCCAAATAAGTTTTGTCTGTTAATAGTGAGGAAAACAACTGGGGTAGACCA